ATATGGGATGCTGGGAATCGAACCTGTGTCGGCCATGTTGGCTGCGTGCAAGGCAAATGCCCTACCCGCTGTGCTATCGCTCCAGCCCCCGGACCTTTTATTTTTATTATTTAATTTTTTTATTTTATAAGTAAAGTAAGTAAAGTAAAGGCCCTCCTGTTGATCATCGATTTGCTCGAGCGGGCCCAGTAACGTCTCCATAGGAGATTTTGTTGTTACTGTGTTTGGCATATCGAATACATCACGGGTGGCTTGCCAGGCTCTGCCGTGCGGGCGAGATACTCTCGGTAGCTTGCCGGGCTCTCTGAGAGGGGCAGAGGAATCGAACTCGGGTCGACCATGTTGGCTGCGTGCAAGGCAAACGCCCTACCGCTGTGCTATCGCTCCAGCCCTAGTTCACAGTACTCGATTACATTTAATATTCAAACACCAATGCCACCACCATTACACCTTCTCACCATCATATTTTGGGTGTTTCCATCCCAGATCCCAAACCCTGCACAAAGCAGAACCAAAATAATATAATTAGTATTGTTTGTTATGAAAAAAACGCTAAAAATGCTACAAAAAAAGTATCCTTAGAGGAAAGAGTGTGAAGATTGTTGTATTTCATCCAGGGGCCATTAAGCCCTTCTATAAGAGATCACTAACATGTTATAGGTTGAGCCTTGTATGATTTTTATATATGAATCTGTAAATAAAATGTATAGATCCCTCTAAGATTGGTTGCCTCTTACTTTGGATCCTATTTAATGTGGGACGGTAATCTTGCAGTGTGGATAGGGTGTGTGGTTTGAAGTATTGTGAGGCCGCATTTGCAGCCGTGCGGCCCAGGAATAGATTCACTTGTGGGTGAGGCTCACTGGAGCATGTGGAAAGCAGCTATGAGCATGGTGGAGGCTGGATTCTGAAGGTTTTTGGCTGCCAGGGCTGGGTCCCTTAGGGTGAGGAGGGGTCTCACCTGACCCCCTCTGGAACGCCTCAAATGAAACAGTCTGGTGCTAGGTCCAGTGGCATGGTTATGGCAAGCATCATGTTATGTTCCCTTCCGGGAGAGAAGGATATGCGATCTGGATGGTGTCCAATGACGAGATTATCTGGCGCCAGCCAGAGGTGGCTTATGGTCTCAGACCTTTAACATCTTAAAAAGAAAACAAGGCAACAAAGCAAAACTTGCAAGACTAGAGTCTTAACCCCCTTGCCATCTCTCGGTCTCTATTGAACCATTTGAAAGTAAGTTGCAGAAAACCTACTTTACACTTAAGTACTTTAACATATTCTTATGTCTCATAAGAATAAAGTTATTCTCCTATGTAAGTATTATTATTAAGGTGTCAGCATATATAGATACGTGTGTATATTATTATATTATTTAGCTTGTAGTCAAAATGTAAATTTTCCCAATTATTTCCTCATTCTCCCTTATAGCTATCTTTTATGCCAGTGCACAATTCCAGATTTTGTTTTGTTTTTTTGTTTGTTTGTTTTTGTTTTTAGTTTTTGGATTACACCCTGCAATGGCTTGCTCTTGGCTCTGTACTCAGGAATCATCCCTGGCAGGCTTGGGGAACCATATGGGATGCCAGGGATCAAATCTGGATCTGCTGTGTGCAAGGCAAATCTGGATCTGCTGTGTGCAAGGCAAGGTCTCTACAACCACTCTGACCTCAGGATACAAGATTTTGCTTGTTTGGTGTCTCTTTAGTTCCCTTTAATGTAGAACCATGGGAACAATGTTGAAGCCCTCAGTTGTAGATAGTTATGAACCACTTGATATATGGCTAATTCAAACTGAGTGTATTACAGATTTAGATGTGTGCATCATGCACATGTTCGCGTTCACACACACACACACACACACACACACAACACCTACCTTGCTTGTAATTATTTAACTTGATTGTATATTGAAGTGATTGTGCATGAAATGTATTGTGATAAAATACATTATTCAAACCAATTTCCCTGTCTCTCTAGCCCTGAATTTGTCTTTTTTACTTTTTAGTAGACTATAGTTAAATCTATGTGACAACAATACAACTTGGATGATTTTGGTGTCTCATCAGAGGTTCCCAGTATCAGTTTGTTGCATAGTGTGTTGGCGGGGGCGGGGGGGGGGGAGGTGGGGAAGAGGAGGGGATTCAAAGTCTCATTATTTCGTTAAAGTGGCATCTTCCAGTTCCCACCAATTTAAAGGTCACTCTTGCCAATTAGAGTCTATAAATAACTTCAGAGATGTTGCTTTGAGATCATGTGAAGATCCTTCTCCAATAAGTTTTGAGCCAATCATTTTAGAACCTTGTGATGGTCTTAGCCGCTAAACATCAGAAGTGTCTCAACTTTTCACTTTAACTCATTGGTTTGACTAATTTCCTTTTTGTTTCCATTATGTGATGCAATATGACCAATTTATCACTTTCTAAATCTCACTGTCTTTCTTGGTGCATAGTGTTCCAGTACATAAAATCTATAATATGTGATTCTTATTGATGATTATTTAAGTAATTTCTCACTTTTTCTATTAAAATATAAATTCCATGAGTATAACCTTGCACTCTATATATTCATTCTCTTCTTTGAGAACTACTCATTGAAGTAATATTGCTGTGTATATTTAATTTTTGACACACATAATGATATTTCTCTCTAGAAACATTGTGCAGTTTGCCATTTCAGTGAGTCAATTCTCTCTCTTTCAACTGAAAATAAGCAATCCCAATAGAAGTTGACACATGAAACAAATATATCTATTTTCTTATACATACAGAACTCCAGATTAAAGGTTCAGTTCATTCTCTTTTCTAGTCAATCTCACTTTTTAAGAATGATGTTAGTTGTAACCAATCGAATGGACCTAGTGTTCACAATTTGAAAAATCTTTGCCTAAGAATTCTTGTTCCACAAAGGCAACCAGTGCTGGCGTGGATGTGGCGAGAAAGGGACCCTCCTTCACTGCTGGTGGGAATGCCAACTGGTTCAGCCCTTTTGAAAAGCAGTATGGATGATTCTCAAAAATTTAGAAATTGAGCTCCCATTTGACCCAGCAATACCGCTCTTGGGAATATATCCCGGAGAGGCAAAAAAGTACAGTCGAAATGACATCTGCACTTGTATGTTCATTGCTGCACAATAGCCAAAATTTGGAAAAAACCCGAGTGCCCAAGAATAGATGATTGGGTAAAGAAAATTTGGTACATCTATACAATGGAATTCTATGCAGCTGTTAGAAAAGATGAAGTAATGGGGCAATGAAATGAACAGAAACTTTCTCAAAGAAGAAATCCGAATGGCAAAAAAGCACATGAGAAAATGGTCTACATCATTAATCATCAGGGAGATGCAGATCAAAACCACAATGAGATACCATCTCACACCTCAGAGACTGGCCCACATTCAAAAGAGCAAAAGCAACCGATGCTGGCGTGGATGTGGCGAGAAAGGGACACTCCTTCACTGTTGGTGGGAATGTCCACTGGTTCAGCCCTTCTGGAAAACAGTATGGACGATTCTCAAAAAATTAGAAATTGAGCTCCCATTTGACCCAGCAATACCACTCCTGGGAATATATCCCAGAGAGGCAAAAATGTATAGTCGAAGTGACATCTGCACTTGTTTGTTCATTGCAGCACTCTTTACAATAGCCAGAAACTGGAAGAAACCTGAGTGCCCAAGAACAGATGACTGGTTAAAGAAACTTTGGTACATCTACACAATGGAGTACTACGTAGCTCTTAGAAAAGATGAAGTCATGAACTTTACATACAAGTGGTACAATATGGAAAGTATCATGCTAAGCGAAATGAGTCAGAAAGAGAGGGATAGACATAGAAAGATTGCATTCATCTGGGGGATATAAAGTAACAAAGTAAGAGATTAATACCCAAGAATAGCTGAGATCAGCACCAGGAGGATTACTCCATAACTTAGAGGCCAGCCGGGTATCCTAGAGGAAAGGGCAGTTCAGATAGAGAAGGGAGCACCAAATAAAGGATGTTTGGAGGATCCTCCCAGGAGGGGAGATGCATGTCGAAAGTAGACTATGGACTGAACATGTTTGCCACTCAATGCCTCTTTTGCAGACCACAACACCCAAAAGGAGAGAGAGAACACAGGGGATTGCCCTGCCACAGAGACAGGGGGGATGGGGGGATGGGGGTGGGAGGGATATTATCCATGGTGGTGGAAAATGGGCACTGGTGGAGGGATGGGTATCTGATCATTGTATAATTGAAACCAAAGCACAAAAAATTGTAAATCTACAACTTTAAAAAAAAATAAAATACAATAAAGGGGGAAAAAAAAAAAGAAAAGATGAAGTCATTAAATTTACATATAAGTGGTTCTACATGGAAAGTATCATAGTAAGTGAAATAAGCCAGAAAGAGAGGAACAGACATAGAAAGACTGCATTCATCTGGGGAATATGAAGTAACAAAATGGGAGTCAAACACCCAAGAATAGTTAAGATAAGTACCAGGAGATCTGCCCCACGGCTTGGAAGCCAGCAGCACATACTGGGGGGAAAGGCAGCTTAGACAGAAAAGGGAACACCAAGTAAAGGATGTTTGAAGGACTTGATCGGATTGCAAGATGTGTGCTGAAAGTAGACTATAGACTGAACATGATGGCTACTCAATACCTCTATTGCAAACTACAACACCCTAAAGGAAAGAGAGAGCAAAATGGAATGCCCTGCCATAGAGGTGGGGTGGGATGGGGGGATGGGGTGGAGGGTTGGCAGGGCTACTGAGATCATTGGTGGTAGATAATGGGCACTGGTGGAGGAATGGGTACTCAATTATTGTATAATTGAAACCCAAGCATAAAAGTTTGTAAGTCTAGAACTGTACCTCATGGTGTTTCACTAAAAAAAAAAAGAAGAAGAACTCTTGTTCCGTTTTGGATTTGCGACTTGGTGACTACCTGGTCCCATGCTGACTTATTTTAGGGAAGGAGAATGGCTGTCTGCTAACTCACCTGTACAGGGTAACAGAACAAACCTTCCCACACATTCTCACTTTAAGCTGCTCATCATGCAGCTTCCATGTCTCTAACACCCCAGTGACAACCGCCTCTTTTTCCTCTTCTTTATCTAAGTGGCAGTGAGATTTTAACAGAGATTTCAGCAATATTGTGTAGTGTAGGCTCTGCTGAGTGACCTGCCTGTCTTGCAAGCAGGGGCTGTGTGTTTGGTCCCTGTCACCATCCTGCATGTAGTTAGCAGGATCCCCATGACACTGCCATTTGGGATCTCAGCACCACAACAAAGTGTGTGATATCTCTGATGTACCTGCAAGCAGGTGTCTGCAGGACCACCACTAATGTGTTTGACTCCCAGTAAGCACCTCAACTAAAGTCTATAAGCATTACAGACAAATTTGTGCAACCTCTGGCCATGAGGTTGTAACATGGGAAGAGAATTAAATGCACTTTTGAAAAAAAGAGAAAAACAAGGATTTTGTCCTCTAACATCTTACATGAACAAAGGAAAACAAACATGAAGAGAGAGTCTTGTTTTCCATATATTAAACACAGCTCCTTGTCTTTGATTCCTTAACTTCTGTTCAGAGACTGATGGCAGCCTCATCACCAAGTCTAGTATCTTGAGTTCTGTAGGATCCATTTTGGTCTGAACACCTGGAACCTTGTTTTCCCATCTTTGGAAAGGTGCCAACATCATGTTGGCAACATAGTAGACACTCCATTGATGGAATAGAAATGGCTAAATGAATAAAATTTATAATTATTTCTTGGGAGACACTAATGTAACTGCAGTATAATTTTTCCTTGTATCATCAATTTTCCTTCTGGGATGCATGGGAGCTTATATACAAAAATCTCCTCATGAGAACTGGGAGATGGCTCAGAGGATTGGAACATGTGCTTCACATGTAGAAACTCCAGGTTTGATCCCTAGTACTGTACAGCCTTGAGCAGTGCAGAAGTGACTTCTGAGCACCAAGCTGGTAGTGTCCCCTCAGCAGTGCAAGGGTGGCCCAAAAACAAACAAAAAGAAAGGGGAGATTACAATAAAACAAAATCTAGAGGCTGAAGGTATAGGACAGCAGATAAAGTATTTGCCTTGCACATAACAGACCCAAACCTGATCCGGGGACCCCATCTAGTCCCCTGAACCCACCAGGAGAGATCCCTGAGCACAGAGCCAGGAATAAGCTATGAACACTGCTGAGTGTGACCCCCAAACAAACAAAAACCAAAATAAATTAAAAACAAAATCTCATGGTCAATGTGTCTTTAGTGAAGGCAGGAGTCCAGTTACAGTGGACTCCCTCTTCCTTATCCAAGGGCTCTGCATCTTTGATGCAAAGAATTGCAGTTTGATATACATAGTTTGTAGTTATATCTATGACAATTATATCTTTGTCGGGGGGAAGGGGCAGCGGTTGGGCCACACTTGACATTGGTTCTCATCTCAGAGATCATTCCTGGCAGAGCTCTGAGGACACTAAGTAAGTGGTGCTGGGGATCAAGCACTGGTCAGCCACATGCAAAGTAAAGACTGTAACTCACTGCACTCTCTCCAGTTATGTCTTTAAGTCATCTAGAAGTATTATAAGCAATCTTAAAATGACTTAAGTATAGATAAAGATGTGCATAGGTTATATGAAAATACTGTGTCATTTAATTAAATTTATTTATTTTGGTTTTGGGCCATACCTGGCAGGGCTTAGGGATTATATTTATGGCTTAGCACTCAAGAATTACTCCTGGTGGTGCTTGGGGAACCATATCAGATGCCGAGGACCAAACCCAGGTCAACCTTATGCAAGGGAAACATCCTACTCACTGTACTATCACTCTGGCCCTTACTGTGCTATTTTAATAAGGGGCACGGGAAGATATAAACTCTGAGAGCTGGAACCAATCCTCTGTGAATGCTAAAGGATGACTCTATTTATAGAAAACAGGAAGTAGCTAAAATATTAAGAGGAGGAAAAAAAGAAGAGTTGAGTGTTCGTGTGGAAGAACTGATACAGAGAGCAAAAACCTGTGAAACTTTGATAAGCAAATATAAAGGGACCTTTAAAACCCAGGGGTCAGAACAAAGTAGTAATTGGCCTTCCTCACATTATCTGAGAGACTTCAGATGTTGCTGTTATATGACTGTGTGCAGGGAGAGTTCAGTGGATATTTGTAAGATGTGACACTGGAAAGTGAACCAATGACAAGAACAGTTAAATAAAAGAAGAAACACAAATCAGCCCAGAAGAAGCAAAACTTTTGGCTTCTGGCTGACTCTAGTCACCAAGACCATGTTAATAAAGGATGCCATCATTAAGTTGATCAGTGAACAAGATGGTTCTAAGGGTCTATTTTCTGGAAGCAATTTCCCATGGTCTATTTTGCCACATGGGCCGAAAAGCAGTTTTGCCATTAGAGAGAGTGTTAAGAACAAAACATTAAAAACAGGCATTCCAAAAGACACAAAGAAAACCATGAAAACAATAATAAAATTAAAAATATAAAAGTCAAAATATTCAAATGTGAATATATTGCAAAAATTCCCCCAATATTCTAATATATTTAAAACTATCCATATATATGTATTATATATATGTATTACTTCTATCACTTGTCTTCCCCTTGCTTATCGATTTGCTCTAGAAGGTGCCAGTAACGTCTCCATTCATCCCTGTCACATGCTAGTGTAGGCCAATGGCGTCTTCTCGCTCCAGGAACACGAAATGAGGCTCTTTATTGTTACTGTTTTTGGCATATCAAATACCATGGGTAGCTTGCCAGGCTCTGCCATGCAGGCAGAATACTCTCAGTAGCTTGCCAGGCTCTCTGAGAGGGACGGAGAAATATATGGAGGAATATATACATGAGTATATATAAAGGTAAAGGTAAAGGCCCTCCCGTTGATCGTCGATTTACTCGAGCGGGCCCAGTAACGTCTCCATTGGAGACTTTGTTGTTACTGTGTTTGGCATATCGAATACTCTCGGTAGCTTGCCGGGCTCTCCGAGATACATGAGTATATATACATATATATATATGTATACATATGAGTATCTTACAGGGGATTTTCCCGTTATGGATCGTACCTAACTGTTTAATTCATTCATTCTACCATATATTTTTCAGAAACTTCACAAGCAGAGCTCAAGGGGTTTAGAGGCCACTCTTGGCAACAAATGGTCAACTAGTCTAGAGAGTTCCACCTGCAGTCCCAGTGATGAGCTGCAGCTTGGATCCAGATGTTCTCAGGAGCCACCAGGACAATGCCCAGTAGTGCTGGGGCATGGGGACTCAAGCAGTGCCAGAAATGCACCCCTGATCCCTGAGCTATTTCTCCAATTCCATATTATACATTTTAAAACTGTTTTCAGTTGTCAAACTTACTGAAAGTGTGAAACCAATGTGTAAAGCCAGCTGGTGTGCTAGAATACTTGAAGATGGTATCAGCAGTAGTCTGCAAAGAGTTGATTTCTTATTTAATCAATGAAGACACGAAACCATACTGTCAACCAGTTCTTTTCTCTTTTATGGGAAAATTGCCTGACATTCACTATAGAAATGCTTGCCTATGGGAGGCTTGTGGCAATACCACCCTGAACACAATGTTGTTTGTCTCCATGACTTCTTTTCTCTGTGTGACTTGATCATGATAACATGCCAGGAATCCACAAATGAAAAAAAGAATTCCTTCCCTAAATGCTTTTTCTGTGAGAGGCATTTTTTCCTTAAGTATCTCATCTAAGGTTCACAGCAAGTCTACAAGGTAAACATTTCTATCTCTATCTAACAGGAAGAGCCTAATGCCTCCATCACACAGCTAACTTGCTCAATGTCACACAGCAGATACATGCTGGTTCTGCAAAATGCAGTCAGGTTTCTCGCTGCCTGCACTGTGGCACACTATGAGAATCTCACTGCTTCACAGATGGATTGAAGAACCTTTGCTTTCTGAACTCAAAGCACACTCTAGACGGGCCTCCTAAACATTTTCCATTCATGACCTTTTTTGCCAGAGAAATGCAATATGAGCTAGCTCTACCGCCACATTACATGGTGGATTTTGAGTTAATATCGGCCGTGGCGTGGTCAAAGAAACTTCATCAGTGCCAACGTTTTTCACAATTTTCTCCTCTCCATTGTCCAGTCACACAACCAAATAGGGGGTTGTGATCCACACACAAGATGACAGACTCTTTTGCAGTAACTCATAGTCTAGAGATGCCCCTCGGCTCCCACCCCATGCAAATCCTCTTCCTGCCCCCACCTCCTCCTCCCCAGATTGGTGATGTGAAGTTTCCAGTGACCTAAAAAAATAGTTGGGGGTTGGAGAGCCACATCTTCAAAGTTGTGGGTAGTAATCAACCTAAGATGTCTCCTCCACTGTGACTAATATGCTTTTTGAGGGCTGCTCCATTAAGCTACAGAGCCCCTGCAGTGACTAAGACATCAGGATCTCAAGTTCCTTTCTAATGGCAGTGCTGCACCCCACCAAATTCTATTAAATCAGCACTTGAGTGTGCGCCTGAGGAGAAATTGTCTCTAGTTTTGAAAACTAGGCTAAGAAGGACAGCTACTGCTAAAATAATTAACAGGATGTGGCTCCTAAATAGAAAATACAAATGAAGAAAAAGTAAAAGATGAATTCTGCCAAGTAATACAAATTAAAATAAAACCAAGGCATTGATGAATTGCCTTGGTTCACCAATGTCTCCTTGCGTCCTGAACCCACCTCCACCAATTCCTTCTCATCTATTCTTGAACCTTTCAAGCTCACTTTAAGGAGTTCCTCACAACCTCAGCTGAGAAGTGGGGGTGTGGGGACACATCAAGCCTAATCTCCACTTCTAGTTAGTTCGCATTGCTAAAAATACCAAGGAAACAGGCAGAGTTAATTTAAGGTAGCGAGTCAGAAAAAAAAAAGGGAAAGATATTGTCATTTAGTTCAGACATGCATTGGTTTTACTTTAATTTGTAATATTTGAACAAATTTTCTTTTTTCTTTTTCTTCACTTGTACTGCTTCATGCTCAGAAGTCACTCCTGACAGTGGTCAGGGCACTATGTGATGTCAGAGATGGAACCCATGCCTCCTGCAGGCACATTAAGCCATTGGACTATCTCCCAGAACCTCATTGAGAATGTCATTTCATTCTCAATTGAAATGGCATTGCATAGAAATAACATGATAGAAATTTTATGTGTGCATTAATGAAAATATTAAGCTCTTCATGAAAAGACCAATTCACTTCATCATACAAGAGCTCTCTGCGCCTCTATTTCCCCACTTTTAGAACCAACCCCTTCTGAAATCTTGCCTGACTTTGACATTTTATAACTATAATCCTAGGAAGAACTTAACTAGACAGCAGTACCTAAATCACTTAATAGCTTACTTTCACTTTATAAATGGCAGGTGTCATAGGTGTGTACCAAGAGCTTTTATTAAGAATCTTGAATTTGGGACTGGAGAGATAGCTCAAAGGATCAAGTAGATGTTTTGCATGCAAGGGACCTGGGTTCTGTGGTCTCATAGTCTGCTGAGCACTGTCAGAAGTGACCCCAGAGCACAAAGCTCAGAAAGGCCCCAGAGCACTGCAGACTGCACCCCCCACACACCCCAAAAAAAGAACAAACAACAAAAAATCTTGACATCAAAACTGCTTTAACCGTTGAAATGAAAGTACAGAAATTATTTGTATTCTAATTATTATGTACGTAACCTTTTCCAACCCAAATACTGGCTTTTCTCTTAACTTCTGAGCATTTAGAAAATCTGTTGGAAGTATTCTCTGCTTAAAACTTCCATGATAAACTAAAGCTCTTTATCATGATTGAGTTCTTCAAAATCTGTCCCTTTTCCCTGTTTACTTTATTTCTCAACCTCTCAGCCACCCCCTTCTCTGACTCAACCCTCTACACACCAAGGTGTCTGTCACTTGATGGGCCCAGGGAATCCCTTTTTTAGTTGAATTGCAGGAAAGGTATGCATACAAATCTCAAAATGCTTTTTATGTTGTTGGTTTTGGAGCCACACCTGGCTGTGCTCAGGGCTTACTCTTGGCTCTGTGCTCAAGGATCACTCCTAATGGGTAAGGGGACCATGTTTGGTGCCAGGGATCTAACCCAGGTCAGCTGAGTTGCAAAGCAAACATTCTACTCACTGTACTATCTCTCTGGCCCCAAAACTGATTTGCTAAAGAAGTTAGAGTTTATTGTGCAGTTCTAGTAGATGGGCCTAGGTACCTCCCCAATGTCCAGGTTGCTACTTTACCCCACGTACGATGTCACTCATTCTGTCCCTCGATGTCCAGACATAATATGACACCCTGAGACTGTCCTTGACCATTTGCTTGCTCCAGTGTCTGATGGCCGGGTCTTATCCCTGCTCTATTCTCTGCTCAGTGTACAGGTTCCTAGTCCAAAATCTGCAGCTGGAGCCC